AGTTGACGTCAACAGCTTCACCGAAGTACGAGCATATGCGGCCAATGCCGCTCGCCTCAAGCACCAGGTATGACTCCCGCATCGCTCTCAACCCCGATCCTCACCGCACAGATGCCTCTAGCACCCAAGGACCAACCTGCGCCCAACCCAGCTTACAGCAGGCAGCGTGGCTATGGCTGCCTGCTTCTTCCACACTCGCCCGTGAGTGCGAGGGCGCCGGCCAGCAAATAGCGCAGCAGCGCTGTCGCCGCATGCAGCCAGCACCTCAATTCCCAATAAGGAGGCTGGCCCTTGCCTATATCCCCCGTGGCCTGCCTGCGTCCAGTCCAAGAAGCTTCCAGTAGGCCCCGGTAGCCTGAGGCCCAGTCACGAGGAATACAGGCAGTGGGCCTGAAGTAGTTACTTGTGCCCAACTGCTTTCGGCCTGTGCTTGGCCCGGTACCTGTACCCAGCCCAGGGCCTGCTTTACATTCATTCACACGGGCGGCCCAGGGCCTGAGGTCATCCAACCAACTGATGCTGTGCAACTGCCTGAATTTCCCCATTTGCGGGGGTACCCTGAAAGTGAGGACCTGAGGGCCTGTCGTGCCTGCCTTCACTTAGGGCGGCCGACCTTGTTGCAAATAAGGCCCGTAAGGCTAAGCGGGCATAGCCTCGCACATGCTTGCCGGGGATAAGTAACCGGACTGAACCCCCCCCAGAATAGAAGGGGCCTGTGTTGGGTTATTAAAAAAAAGAAAAAAAAAGAAGGGAAAAAGAAAAAGGAAAAAATAAAAAATAAAGATAAGACTATGTGAACAACGAGATCAAAAGCATGATAAACAATGATTACAATGTTCAAACTGCTTCTCCCTCTTCTTCCACGGGAATCATTCTCACCACCTCAAGGCACACAATGGTGACCAGATTCTTCTGGATACCTGCAGGCAACCAAAGATGTGTATCCGATCTACAGTTGAGGCTGACCAGCGGCTTGACTTTGATTTCTAGGCCTGGGTTCCTGAACTGGGGATTGGCTGTTGACTGTCAACGACTTCACGTAGGGCCTCTGAAGGCCAGTTTTGACCTTGCCCAGGGTACCCCATGACATCGGACGAATGACATCAGACCTTCGTCCAGGTGCTAGTTGGATTTAGGTCGTGACTTTTGAACCCCGCTTCGGGCCTTTGACCAAAAGTGACGACCACACAGCCCACGTGTAATGCAGATTTGAGCTGAGTTATTGCGGATAGTGAAGAAAGGGATATAACGGATTGATTCTGCTCCATGTTGCGCGCTATAGAGGTAAAACTGTTTCATTGTTGGAATGACTCATCTCAAGTGTACTTCATTGTCTGCAATAGAGGTAAAAGCCGTATCCATTTTGGGTCTACTCATCTGGGTGGAACAGGGCCTGTTGTGGTGGAAATCTTGAACACACATAGATCTGTGGGCACTTCCCGCTCAACCACACAAATGTGGGGAACCTTGCACCCTCTAGTAAATTGATCATCTACACTTTTTTGTTTATGGATTGTTTGTGATGATGTGTGTGTGGAATGAGAGAGAGAGTTCGGGGATGTTGACAAACACACACACAGGTAAAACTGTTTCATTGTCGGAATGAGATGCATCTCAAGTGTACTTCATTGTCTGCAATAGAGGTAAAAAGCTGCATCCATTTTGGTTCTACTCATCTGGGTGGAACAGGGGCTGTTGTGGGAGAAATTGACACACGCACATGCACACACACACTAACCTCCCTCCCTTAGGTGTCATTCTAGAGTAGTCTGTTCCAGCGGTGGGTGTTTAGAGTTCTGCGAAGTTCGTCACACGCCTCTCGCCGGCCCTTTGCATGTCATATTCTATCCTGCCCTTCACATATTTCTCTCCTGCCCTTTGCCCTCCACCTTCCCTTACCCCACACTCCTAAAGAACTCAGCCTTCTATCCCTTTCCCTCCACCCTCCCCTCTTGTGCCACTAGCAAACACATACGAATGAGCATTGTTAAGAGAACAGACGATATGGAGATCAGAAGTGAAATGAACAGGAGTAGGAAGATCTGAAGAGAAATGCACAGGAGCATACCTTCCCTTTTACTCTGCCTCCCGTTATAACGTGCAAGTGGGCCGTTAAAGCACACGTGGATGCGGGCAGCTGCCGCTCAACCAAAATCAACGTGGGCACCCTTGTACGTGAGGGACGTAGTAAAAGAGGAGCTGTTGCCCCAAAGAAACCCCAAGTAAACAGAATTCAAAATGGTTCGATTGTGATTCATGTTGCTTGCTAAAGAGGTGAATGCTTTAGTTGTTGGGCTAGCTCAACTCGAATCTACTTGTCTGGGTGACACACACACACACACACACACACACACACACACACACACACACAATGCACTTGCGTTGGACCGATCCTCCCTGTCGTCGTCGGCCCACAGAGAAGGAATACATACTGAGGAAGCCCAAGAAAGGTGCTGCATGCCGTTTTGTGATGACCCGTCGGAGATTCAACTAGCATGTGGTTCACATGCCTTGTACCATGAGGATTATGAAGGTATAGTCCATGCGAGTTTTTGCTTCTATATGTACGATGCCAGTCAGTACTGTACTCATGTACGGCACCCGGACATGTCATGTCCAATTTGTAGACAGGGGCTGGAACGGCAATACCTCTATAATTGCGGTCGACGTGCCCCTGTGTTCCTAGCATGTACGAGCCACGTAGCCTGTGACATCTGTCTGTGCCGTGCCATTCGGTGCAGCAACTGTGACTGCGAAAATTGGATGCAGTGCTTCCATAGCCCACACCCGAACTGGTCCTGTCCGGTCTGTAGGGGTGGCCACTCACAGCGGTGAATATTTAGAAATCTGTGAGACCCGTCATACACCTTTCCCCTGCTCTTGCATGTCACTCTATCCTGCCCTCCACATATTTCTTTCCTTCCCGTTGCCCCTACCTCCGCTGCCCCATACTCCTAGAGAACTCCTCCTTCTATCCCTTACCCTCCACCCTCCCCTCCACTCCCTTGCAATACTAACAAATACATACGAATGAGCATCATTAAGAGTATAGACGATATGAAGATCAGAAATGAAATGAACGGAAGTATGAAGATGAAGGACGGACACAAAGGCTGTATAAGCTGAAGATGTGAAATGAAATGGACAGGAGTATGAAGCTCTGAAGAGATGCACAGGAGCATACCTTCCCTTTTACTCTGCCTCCTGAAATAACGTGCAAGTGGGCCGTGGAGGCACACGGGGATGTGGGCAGCTGCCGCTCAACCACGTACTCTGCCTCCTGAAATAACGTGCAAGTGGGCCGTGGAGGCACACGGGGATGTGGGCAGCTGCCGCTCAACCACAATCAACGCGGTCAGCCTTGCGCATAAGAGGCACGGTAAAAGGGGAGCTGCAAGAACAATGAAAGGGGTACCCCAAGAACAACCAAAAAATTGTCTAATGAAACGGTATTCACCAGTTCGCGGTAGCGAATGCAGATCCCAGGGCTCGATCCCTAGATCC